ACGGAGAAACCGGGGAAGCCCCCGGAGGAAAACTCCGTGTTGCCTAGACCACGGCCTTGCCCAACACAAGTTATAAATTCGGGCACTGCCGGGAATCGAACCCGGGACCCCAGGATTACAAGGCCAGCGTTCTAACCGCTAGACCACCGTGGAAGAAAAATTACTTTAAAATGTCATCATATTTAATCAACATCCACCATGAATCAACCTGCTGGTGGTACAGGTGAAAAACCAACCCAGCCTTCCTGTTTTCTGCAGGAAGGAGAAATGTTTTATAACTGAATACTAAACAGCTGTCATATTAATCATTTTATCTTTATATCTGCAAGTTCAACAGAAGTCACATGGAGTCTTTAAAGACTAGATCTTCAGTGACACTCGGTTAATTTCAAAATTTCCATGGAAACTTTTCTACTTTGGAGTACATCCTGGTGTTCTTGTAGTTTATACATCCATAAATGACCTTCAACAATTCTGGCCTATGACTGCCTAGCTTAGAGTCAAGGTAGGAATGCACATGTCTGTGGACAGAACCAAGTAGACAACACATCCAGTTTGCTATAATATGATGATCGCTGGCAATTCATCTTTCCTCTTTTATACAGATTTCATTACAGCATTTTCAACATAACTACTTCCTGCACTCAGTTGCAATCTGATTTTGAAGTGGTTAAATTAATATTAAACAGTTTTTTAGTCCTGACCACAAGTTTTGATTTCTAGTGAAAACAGGAAGTCCTAGCAATTACAGTAATAATTCATAATTTTATTAATAGCATGTTTTAAAGGACTGCCTGGCAAATAATAAAGGTAAAGAAATCATTTCACACACTGACCAGTGCTACTACCATCACGGAGTACTTTTCTTTTGTATTGAATACTGAAATGGAAAAAGCGCCATTGGGCTCATCAGTATCTAATTTTAATGTCGAGAGGAACACACCGACTTAAATACACACTTACTAATTCTCCAGAAGAAACGTCACGCCGAATTTCTTTAATTGCATTTTCTGCTCTTTTCAAATCACGGCAAGCCATTACAACACGCGCCTTCCTACGAGCTAATTCACGTACAGTTTCTTTTCCAATTCCTGAATTAGCACCTGTGACAATAAAAACTTTACCATTCAAAAACGATTTGCTCTTGCATTGTCCCCATTGATATTCACGATATTTACGTAGTAATCCAACTGCAAGTAGAAATGGAACAAAAACATAAACAAGTCCTGACACCATCCTCCCTTTTAACGCAAACTTCAATTTCGCTGTTCATTCATCTGTGGCCAGATTTTCGTGTTGCCAACGGCTGCACCCCAAATCACAAATTAGTAAACATTATATTTTACTTTCAATTCCATGACAGCCAATATTCGAATCACAAACGTAAAAGTAAGAGGCAAACTCCTGTGATGACCACAGCAAGTCACGGAAGCTATAATGAGAAAGCAGATACCAAGAATTAAAATTATTTACAACATTGAGATGATACATGGGCAAAAGCCACAAGTGCAGTAGTCTCCTCTGTTGACATAATTTTATCCACAGATCACCTACATTTCAACAGACAGTAATGTATGCACTCGATCTCTCACATTGAAACTAAATGGTCTTCTATATAACAACCTAAGAATGGTTTATTGACCTTTTAATACATTTTAAATGGACATTATGCTAATAAAGCCTAATCTAAACTTGCACTTTCATGGCTTCATCACTGACATACCAGTACAACTCTTCATGCAATTACAAATTACAATTATTAATCAACAGTATAGTTAATTTAATCGGCTTGAGAAATATCACTCGAAAATACATTTTTTTTAATATGAAGTTTGTTTCAATTTTAAAAACAATTCAGCTTACTGTCAGTAAGAAGATACATCATGGATATGAGTACAGGCATATTATCACAAAACATTAGACTTGCTGAACTGTCTTATTTGAATCACTTTTCATAATTATTTATGTCTTCCTCACAGGTAATGAGTACTACAATGTGTGAGAAATATCTGTATAATAAAGAAATATTAAGAACTGTGGGAAAATTCATAGGTTTAATAATTTCCAACAAATTTTAACTCATAAAAAGTATTTTATTAATTTTCCAACTATTTTTCCATATATTTTAAAAAATGTATATAAAAGTATAAACTTTTTTAAATATTCTCCATTATTTTCATATTCTGTTGACAAACCACACGTACACAATTTCATGTTTTATAAAATGTTTTATTTCAGAGTAAATGGGGTGCCCTCATATGTGTGAACTAGTTGCACACAATGAATAGTAAAATAAATAATCTACCTCTGTATGTAAGGAACTCTATTTTTTTAATGTTACAATGAGGTGAGACTATTTGGACCAATGAGGATGCAAGTAACAGGAGGTTGGGTAATGTCAATCATCAACATGTATTCATATATGGTAATACAAACATGGCTTACCTGTTACTTTACATGTATTTAAGAAACACTAAGATGAAATCTATGTTATGGCTATAATAATTGTGACCAAATAATTCTGCAATTATTGTAAACACACATATACGGAACAAGTAAAACACCATAAATCAATGATAACTGTGGCCACAAAATTAAGTCTATAATTATACTTAACAGTTTAAAAGAATAAATTAGTAAATAAATACACAAATAACAAACAAATTAAAAACACCTTGAAAATAATATCCAAACAACACTCATCAATGTAATTCCTTAGGCAAAAACTTTGTTTCAGTATGCCTTTGATAAAATTGAAACAGTCCATGAAGTTAACGGAATACTATAGATACTTGATTTTTGTACTATATATACACCAAGTACATAATTCAGGCACAAGGAGCATAACAAATTAATATTGTATACAGTGCACTGAAACGTTCAGGGATAAAGATTAGTATTCACTCGGATCTGTAAATTGTAATTTTTCTTTTAAAAATAAAGAACTGTACTTTCTGGTTATTCCATGGACTTTCAAAGAAAATTGTACAAATACTTCTTCTTGAGTTATAGGATACCTCCCAAACAAGTATGGGTTAACTATTAGTTAACTGGCCTGAGGAACATCCAATTATAATGATTAAAAATATGAGTTAGGAAATTTAATAATTAGTAGACTGGAATATATGAATACCTTGATAAATGTATACACTGTAATCTTATTAACATATATCATTGGAAAACCATCGAAGTATGAGTATTTTTAATTCTCTTTAAAAGGAATAGGTTCTTAACAATATGAAGTTGAAGTATTACATTTATTAAATATAAAGTATACTTTTATCCTTAGATAAATTGAGACAGTTAAAAATATTTCTTCCTATTCCAGCCTTCAGGGAACCTTCTCATAACCTGTGTCAAGAGAATATTACGTATTTATCCTCCTATTCTACATATCAGTCTTTTAGTAAATGAAAATATGTCTAGGACTATTAAACTTTGGATTTCATGTTGGAAGTAGTAGGACTTACTGACTGACTGCTTACATTCAATTTTAACAATAATCTCCTTAAATATATAATTATTATGGTTTATACTTTGAAGAACCCAATACTGTGTTGATAAATGCACACACTTTTGTATTCCCTGTCTATGTCAGCTGAAATAACAAGATAATTTCACCCTATAACATGTATAAGTAACTAACATACTACTTACAAATCAACAGTAGGACTACTCTTGCAGTACACACATATGTTTCTAGAATGATAATTATTGGCCCTCTTAAGTAGTGACTTAATTGCACAACTTTGAACTGATCACATTTCAACACTGTATACTACACACTAAACCTTCCTGTCAACATGATAAACCCTGTAACTTCACCACACAATGTATTGGTTTGTAATAAAAGTAGCCTCATGTTCCTTAACAGTTATATTTGTCCTTCACTGTCAACTAAAGCAGACTGTGCCAGTGGACATACTGTGAGACCTCAAAAATGCATATAGAATAATTATGTAAGAACATTACAGTGATAACAATTATGGATTTTTTTGTCTAATTCACAGATTTATCAATAATCTATAATTCTCTTCAATCCCTTAATGTCATGAACCATATTTTGCTAATTTTTAAACCAAAATACTTACATCTGCCAGAAATCATCCCACCACCAAGTTTCTGGAACGGACATATATTCCCTCACCTCTGCCTTTAGTCTATCCTGTAAAAGCAAAAGCTGCTTGTTCTCTGATTTGAGGCGTTCTGCTTCCTTCTGAAGGGTGTTGACTTCTTCAAAGGGAGTAGCTTTCTGATTCTACACACAAACAACAAAATAATGGACATAAATATGGATACCACAAGGCAGAAAATAAGTTTTACATAAATTTTTGACTGCTGTAAAACAGATCAATACATTTTTTTAGCACATGGAATACTTTTAAGTATTCTATGTCAATGTATCAATGTTAAAAACAAACAATTTTGTTTCTTTTAAGCTTTATTTTATTTACATGTACCAAAATATTATAATGTAAAACTTGTATTACATGCACTTTTTATCATGAGTGACATTTTGAAAACTCAGTTTCCTTTCTCAGAAACACCTAAAAGTTCCTAATTTTGGTATTTAAATTATGTCACTTAGGTTCTTTTTGTTTGTTCTGTTATTCTCCTAATGTCCCTAACAGTGTCATTCATATTTTATTTTTAAATTACATATTTTGTTATACATGATATAGTTAAAACAAGAATTACCCATTTTTCAATTACCTCATATTTTAACTGTATTTGCAGTCTGCTGATGTGTGACTGAAGATTCTGAATCAGTTTCTCTTTACCTTCCAGCCTTTGAACAGCAATGTGGTTAATTTCATTCATGTTGTCCTGAAGACTTTGGATCATTTTGTTCTTAATTGTCAACTGCAGGAAAAATTAACACATTCTGGCATTTTCCAATATATATAATAAATGATATGAGATTTTACAACAATATTTTGAAGATCATTAAAGAATTAACATTTATTATACTATATCTCACATGGTAAGGGTTTAAATAACCTTAAGTAGTTATATGAATGTCATTGAACAATAATTTAATCTTGTTTTCGATTCAGAACATTCTCAAGCTTTCTGTGGTCCAATTTCTTTGGTGAAACACATGTATTTTTACACAAATGTTTTCTTTATATATAAATCTAAAGTCATACCACCACTAAAATAAATATAGCCAAAAAACAAAAACAAAAAAAGAATGTGTAATTCAAGTTACCTGTTTTTGCTCCAGGAGCATTTCCTCAGATTCTTCTTTTACAGACCTGCAGATAAAATAAAGAGGATTAAAATGTCTCAAGCACATAACATTTGAAACTAAGTGCAACAAAGGACATTGATCCATCCTGATCAGTGACATAATGATTATTGTAAACAAATAAGATGTTTCAGTGCAACGCTCTGATGGACTATGTCTCTTATTTACATGGAATGAGCAGAACATGCCTTAGGTTTCAAGCAATTCTTATATACAAGTATCAGTAAAAGAACAAGTGAAAATCTCTTAACTGGTGGTGCTTTAAATATGATTCATAACAGAGGACAATTTCATCAATGTAATACCTTCATTTGGGACACAAATTAGTTTGACAACCATACTGGACTCGTAAGCTTTAACTTCAAGATGACTGTCTTCAGGGTTGCAGTGTTGTGTAGTCTGGTAGATGTTTACTGACATTTCAGAGGTACTTGCTTCCTACAACATCAGGGTATTAGACTACATGGCACTACAACCCAGAAGGCATTCTTGCCACTGTAAGAACCTCAAATCCTAGTTAAGCCTTATTTTATTTACAGTCTTGTCACCCTGAATAAGAGCACCTGAAGTAAAAGCTTATCACCTTAACCATTTATCACAGCAAGATATTTTTCTCCTAGAATTAAATCTTGAGTCTGAATAAATGAAGAAAAGAGTGGATATACATGAATATAGAATATTCAAAGAAGTCTGTATATTTGATTGTGTGCAAGTCTAGGATGGAGGAAATCTTAAAAGAATGAATTGTGTTTCTATTGCTTACTAAAATTAAATCCATGTTGCCAAACAATGGTGATGCATGCTAGACTACTAAATTATTGATCTCAAAAGCCACAATGGGTCTGATGATACAACTGTTCCACTTACTGCTTTTTTTATTCTAATGTTCAAGTCCTTTACTGTTCTGCAAGATAAAATTCTGGGAAATTTGAGTAACTGTGTGACAATTAGCTTCTCAAGAAGGATTATACAGTTTAATATTTAACAATTAGGATCAGACAGAGTGCATCTGAAATCTAAATGATTAGATATTAAGAAAGCAAATCATTTGACATTTGTTGTGAGGAACTAAAATCCCAAATGAATATAATGAAATTCATTCATCCATTAATATTTCAAAAATTTTCTGGATATAATACAGTTAACAATAATCCTATTAAATCTTTAAATGAAAGTAACATGCACAAAACCAGACATAATATACATCCATCCATAGAACACAAGAACCTAAGAACTTAAATGTGGGTACTGCATTCTGAAATAATGTAACTATATTACTTTACCTCCAGTATATTCCCTCCACTTCTAACTCCTTTGTCTTGATCACTAGATCATTATTCTCCCTGCTCAGGTCTTGAATCTCCGTGGTTAGTTCTTGTATCTTGCATGCCTGATCTTCTAACTTCTTGCACTGAACTTGTAACTTGCCATTCAGTTCTTGTATTTTGTTTGACTCATCATCTAACTGGTTCCTCTGGTCTATCAACTTGATGCTCTGACCTTGAATATTACTGTTCAGTAGCTGTATTTCATTGATCTGATCTTGTAATATGTTATTCTTATCTCGAATTTTGTTCTTAAATTCTTGGATCTCATTCATTTGATCTTGAATCTTATTGTTCAGTTCTAGTATATGGTTAACCTGATCTTTTATCTGAAACAAATCACTAAATAAGCAAAATATTTCACACTGTAATTTCCAGATAAACATGTAAAATTCAAATGCCTATCTTTCAGAAACAAACTCATGACCCTGGGACCATTTTATATACATCCACACATCTTTTGTGATTCATCACTTTACAAAGACATTTCTGTTTTGCTATGGCCTCCCATGGTCTCTCCTGTTCAATGTTTTGAATCTCCTTCCCTCTGTTTTCTTCCTTCATAGAATCACTGAACATCACAGCCAAGTGATTAGCAATCCTGCTTCATGTTTGGGAAATCCTGGGTTCAAAACTAGATCTACTATCCTGACAGAGAGCTTTAGTGGCTTCCCTCAGTCACTCCAAGCAAATGCTGGGATAGTCCCTTAAATTAGGACATGAATGCCTCCTTTCATATCCTTTCCAATTCATTATCATCTTATCATTTGATGCTATTACAGTCTGAGCTACTAGTTTTGCTAAATAAAATAAACATATTACAACACTGTTAGTTCCCTATTTGGTTATTTTCAATACATAAAATTGCTCCTGGTATATGGCCAAACTATTCTAATCTTGATTTGTGCAATATCTCCTTTAATATTTGACTTAAATCATCTTCATTGTTTATCATTAAAATTTCTTCCTCCATCTTGCTGGTTAGTCTTCACCAAATATCACAATGATGATCAAATCATGGAGGATGAGATGGTTGGGGCATGTTGTATGCTTGGAAGAGATATGTACAAAATTTTAATTGGAAAGCCTAAAGGGAAGAGACCACTTGGAAGAACAAGTTGTAGATGGGGGGCCATATTAAAATATATAAGCAAATAGGGTGGGAGAAAATGAAGAAATCTGTTTCATTGTCAGTTGTTGTTATTGTTATTGTTATTAATGCATAACTTTCAAGTTACAACATGTTAACATATATTTATACAAAAAACTGGATTTAATTTTTTTAGATAATTTCATAATTAGTGCTGTTCCTAACTGTTGTAACATCATATTAAATATACAGATTGTTCTGTTTAACATGAGACCTTCCAAGACAAAAAAATGTCAAATTGCAATTAACTGATAATATCAACATTAAAATGCTGTATTCTGGTATAGCTCACTCTGTATTATAGCACATGCTGGAAACGATATCTTTCAGCTCTCAATGCTTCACATATGGTGATATGTTACTGACAATCTTCTGAAGTTCTTGTTGAAATATGGATGATACTGCACACTTGAGGATTTCTTTAAGTTTGTCCTTTGTGCATAAACTTCTCTGATAAACCCTGTCCTTCAAACTTCAGAACAGATAACAAGAGAAAGAATGGACCACAAAGGGCAACTGATTATTTGGTCAAGAAAAGTGATGCTGCCCCAACCTTATTACTTTAAGAACAATTTTAGTATTATTCTCTCCCACATATACACATGTCTTTCAATATAAATTTTCCCTTCAGGTTTCCTGGCCAAAATTTTGTATGCATTTCTCATCTCTCCCAAGTGTGCTACATGCTCCAAACATCCCCCCTTCAGTTTGACAATCTTGGTACTTGGTGAAAAATACAAATCATTAAGTTCCTCTAAAAATACTATCATCAATTCTAAATGAAACTTACTATTCTGTCACGGTCACTTAATTCTGCCTCCATTTCTTTAACATGGTCCTGAAATGCATAAAGAGTTTCAATTTGCAGTAAAAATACTTAACAACCTAAACTGACATGATAGTCTTCTTCTAGACATGCATTACGTAAGACTCAATATGTATTTCTTCTATTGCATTCAGTTTCAGTCAAACCAGTTTAAAAACATGCATAAGGGTCAATCGACATCTTATTATTTGTATGCCATATAAAACAGATAATGTGAAATTACCTTGATGAAACATAAGACTTTCAATTTCTCAGCTAAATGTAATTCCAACAGGCAGATGTCCTGTTCCAGGTTTACAATCTCAGTCTTCAGATCATCACTGGAATCCCTCAAGGTGTCCAGAACCTTTTCTTGCTTCACAACCTCAAATTAAGAAAAGAATTGGAATATTTGTCAATATTTTCTTCAGGCCTAACCCAGTTTCAATAATCACATGATCTTAACATTAAACTATATTAATTTAGAAATTTTTCATTAACAATTTTTTAATGTATTTTAAAAAATTAAGAGAAGCAAGTCTATGCACAATTAACAGAACGTGGCATATTTGATGTTCACAATAAAAACTTGGTGGCCATTTTTTGGAAAATACATCTAATACTAGGACTATTTATATTAATTTGTGTACTGAAGTTATTAGCCTCCAAATTTTCACTTTCCACTGAAGCACTACTAGAGGTTGCTTCACTGAACAAGTGGCAACAACTGTAGACAGATGATAAATTTCATGTTGCCACAATCATGATGCTACACAGTTAACAAAAGGGTGGATCTTTGTAGGAAATGTACGTCAGAGAAAGAGAATACTTCAAGACAGACAAGTGACAGTAGAAGACAGTGATGATGAAAAGAGCTACAGCAAGTACTGTGCATATAATAAATAAACAGTCCAATTCATACTGAATTTTACAAATTTAAATCTGAAAATACCTAGTACTTATTCTCGTATAATATAGTAAATGAACTGAAATATAAATGTAAGTTTTCATGCATTTCATTGCTCTTGTATAACAGAATTGTTAAAATGAAATAAAAAACAACTTGATTAATTTAAACTATCATATCAATATGGCCTCTACTTTTCTCTTACCCTCCATATGATGTATAGACACACACATTATACATGTGAAAAATTAAAATAATTCCATAACTTGGTTGCATCATAAATACACATGCTGAGCAGCATATTATTAATGCTCTTTTCTAAATTAGTCCTGGATACAACATTAAGATAAGTTGCAGGTGTGGATAGAATGTGATAGGTGATGGTGGAAATGGAAGGCATATGATTCTACATAAAATTTATTTATGATTTAATGATGCTGCCAGTAGTCTGGACTATATATGAGTAGAATAATGTGTAATGTATTGTTGTGAGTTGGAGACCATGGGCAGTATGACAGTTGATGGTAGTAAACACAATGTGGAGTGTGGTGATTGTGTTGGATAGTGTATGTGTGGTAATGGTAGATACATTCAGTGGTGGTGGTGAATGGAATGTTGTGTGTGGTTTGAACAGACATAAGATAACAGGAAACCCACTGTCAAGTTCCTAACAGTATTTAAAATCCCATTTACTTACTTATCATTATTACTACAACTACTATTACACATCTACTGCATAAACTGAATTTCACTGGAATTCATACAACAGACCTTGCAGTGAGAGACAAATATTTAATGGTATATACTGTAGTTCTATTTTTACATGAAGCAATTTAAAAGGTATATACTGAACATGCTATTCATTGTGAGGTCATGCATCTCAATCAAGTGTCTCTCCAGACAAATAATATTCCTTACTTACCTCCCCATAGCAATTACGATACTGACTCTTAATTTCGGAAAGATCCAAGCGCAGAAAGCGTATAATACGATCCTTGATAATGAGCTGAAATAAATAGCAGTAATTACAACAATACATTCAGGCTGAATCTAACAATAAAAGAGCAGAGATAGGTTACATCTAGAACTTCATTTGAGGGTGAATTTTAATAAATCATCATATATACTTTGTAACATAACATAGCATGTAATTATAGATTAATATATTCTGTTTGAAACAAGTAAACTACTCTTACAATGTGATTTACACTACTTTTTGTATGTTACCCTTGTGGCAGACCAGCAACCAAAAGTAATAAACTTACAGCTGTGCAAGAAAAATCATAATTTATTCTGCATAATATTTGCGGTATTAAGAAATTAAAATAATTTTCAGGTCATTAATCTCATAGAGAGTATGGCAAAATTACAAACAATTATAGAGACAAAGTTTTGAAAATAGAAGAGCCATTATACCTAATAGGTCACAGATGAAAGATAGGCTATCAACATTTACAACTTTCACATATCTTCTATATCAATTATACAAAAGAAAAGGTTTATCTTTTTATTTTAAAGCAATGAAAGCTTGTTGAAATGATAAGTAGCATGAAAACACAAACTGTGCTGTTTATAACAGATAATTAAAGCAATTAGTATGTAAGCATAGCATGTGTTATTGTATGTTACATAGCAACACAGTCACAAGTCTAGTCTTGTAATGGAAATATGCAAATATTTAACAAAGAAAGATGCTAAATATTGTTCAGTCTAGCTACCTAACATAATCAGCAGAAAAAATTTAGTATTAATATTATTCAAGTGATAATTCAGTTTTAAATTACTTTTATTAATACAAAAAAACATGTGCAGATGGTGTTCTATAGTTCAGCACAGCTATAATCATATCAACATATGTTTTGTTGTAATTGAATAGGTTATGTGCAGGTTACCAAGACTGGATACTATTAAAATTTATATTTGTTAACATATAAGGCGATTGGAAAGGTGTAACCTTTGGAGCACAGACATTCCAAATATGTTCTTCACACAGGTCAGTGTTGCACGAAGGTGATCTGAGGTCACTGCATGCCTGAGGCCATTCTTGCAATAAATTGATCCCAGGTAAAATATAATCGATAAACTCAGATGGATGAAAACAATCACACAACTAAAACACTGAAGTTGAATTAGCCAAAAGGAAAAACAGAAGATTGGATAAATCTTACCAGGTGCTGTGTTCATATTCACACTTGTATTCTCTGAAAAAGAGAAGCATGCTGACTATTAAAATAAAAAGAAATCCTACTTCAAGACCCGAAAACTGAATTAAAATATCTAAGGTTATATTATACCATTACAAAAACACAGCAAAAGTAATGTTAAACTAAAAGTCATGCTTAGCACAAACTGAATATGTTAAAAAAGTGACAAAATACAAGTATAAGCACTCTTACACATAAGAATCTTTCATGTACTGTTGGAGAAATGGCAAAGCACAGCAATCTCTGAAACAGACTTTAACAACAAACAGCCTTATCCTAAGATGCAGAGAGACTGTATAATTAATTTTGTAAAATGTCTTGTCAGTTCAAATTAATTTTACTGGAAAAATAACTGTATCTATCTCATAATTTAACACATTGTTATCAAGACAAGCAATATGAAATATATTTCAATCTATGTAATTCTTAAAGATATAAGACAGGATCATAAATGTAAATCAACAACAATATACATGGGAAATACCTGTGGTTCCATCAAAAACAATAAATATACATAAAAGGGACAAATGTGTTATCAGAGAAAACTGCAATGATGACTATAAGACTGAACCAAACAACAAAACGATAAGGTAAAATGAAGTGAAGCTATCCCGCTACACTCCTTGGTGGTGCTTGGGAGGGAGGAAGTACAGCTCCCACTTGTTCCTGACCTCCTGGGGATGAGTGGCCAGCGTCATGCCCCAACTGTGATATATCCCTGGGGAAAAGAAAGCTGGGTAGGCACCATAGCCAGTCTGTACAAAGAGGCTAGAAAAAAAACCTTTGCCCCTGCCAAAGATCTAACCTTGGTTGTCCAGTCCAGTCCAGTCCACAGGCAAACACTATACTCACTGAGCTACACCAGCTACAAAACGGCCTAGGCAGAATATAAAAATGCACAAGAAAACACTCATATGAAATCACAAAAGGAAATGCAACATAGCTTGTTGAATTTTAATTGAGACTTATTAGGTAGAGCAGGTGTGATTACACAGAAATTACAGAAAAGATGGTAGTAACATTCATTTAGAGTAAGTGAACTGAATACTAGTTTTCCACAGGCTGGAAGTATCATATTTTAAGATCATATAACACCCTAAAGATTTCATAGAGTAATCAAAAAACTATTAGGCTTCACAGTTCATCTAGAAGTGCAAAACTTGTAATATTGCAGTTGATGAAAGACTCTCGGGCAACAAGCCTCACCAGGTAGCTGAATGGTGAATGAACCATTCCTTCCGCCGTTTCAAGAGCCATCTTTGCTCTCATCCTCAGGGCATTGCAGTTCAAATACTATTTTAAATATAATATTCCTACTAAAGTTTAATACAACTTAAATATACAAATTCATTATAATCTATTGTTAGATACAATAAAATATGTAACTAATATTAGGACCTGACAGTGAAGCAATCTGAGCTGAGAATTGACAAATAAATATTTCCTTGTAAGATTTGAGGTTTTCACAGCGGTGAGTATGAAGATTTCCTTGCTTTATTATTATTGCAAAGATTAAGGCTGTAACAAAGAAAAAGAAAGATAATGGAAGTTATGAATATGGAGAGCAGATGAGGACATAAAGGAATCAGGTTACAAAATCTTTTGATAAAAGTCAATGGTTGGTACTAACTACAACAGACAAAACTACCTGCATACACATACAAGTGAGAGTGCTTTATCTGCCTAGCTTCTACTGGCCATGTTTATTCTTATTTGCTGTGCTCATTGTTTCTACTAAGTGACTGTTGTCACTTCCATTTTTATAACAAAGCCAAAATTGCTCCAAACATCAACAATGTAATACAATTTTGGAAATGAAGTTTTACTTTCCTTCTGAGTCAATATGTAGGAACGTAAATAAATATTATCATCTTCAATCTAAGAGGTGTTGTCTTTGAATTTGTACAACCCACATGCTTTGATCAATATCAACATATTTTAGTAATTTACTTTCCTTACCATTATCATATGTTCCAAATTAGATAAATAACAGTGCCTAACATCAAGCAAACAAGTTAGGTACTGTGTGAACATAAATATCTCCAAATAGATACATTGTACAAATCTGAATGCAATTATAACAGAGAAATTAAATGAATGAAAAGAATCAACAATAAATGGGCAATCACATGAGACAGAGGAATGTGATGTGATGTGAATGGGAAAAATATGACTGACAAAAGAAAGAGGATATAGCAACCACATTTTGATTTAATGACAGGATTATATATCAGATAATGTAATTCAGTTTACAGCAAGAGGCACAGAAGTTGATATCAGGAGGCATATTATGTTTCACACTGCCTCATATAAAATAATGAAGGTGCATTAGAGATTATGGCATACTTGTAAATATTACACAATTGTATAACAACCTCTAACAATCACTACAAGTGTCAAAAACCTACTACTTATAAAAGTTATTCTTTACGACAGTAACATCTAAAGGGCAGGCACCTCTGACAAAAGTGTCAATGTCTACAACCTTGGCCACAAACACAAAGAATGCTCACTGTTGACTGTACGACCATACACACAGTGATTCAAAGAAATGAACTGTGTGCACTTCTAAAATGGTGGTAGACTGGCAATAGAGTTTTATGTTAATACACGTCTCATAACATACTCAATGAACAGTCAGTATAGAACTAGAAAGCTGTCATGTTTCCAGAGTAGAATGTGCAATTTTTATTTCTGGAGAAACTTGAAACAAAGTTTGCAGAAATAATCCAAGCATTTTTGAGTCTTTACATATCCAAATCTAAATGTTGTTCCAGAAAACATGAAAGATGAATTTTAACATGTTATACTTCTTTTATTACACTGGTGTGAAATGTGTTAAGATGTTGGACAACAGCCGCAGCAAATTGTGTAATATCAGGCAAGTGAAGTACTTTTTTCTTCTAGTGTGGATGAGCCATTTACAGCATGCAGTAACATATGATAGAATCTGCTTACCAGCTGTTACCTAATTTTACAGACAGGCAGTAATATAACCACTCTGTATAATTAGAGGGAACTTAACATGAAAGGGAAACTGAAGTGGAGATCAACAGAAGAATTAAATTATGCTAACAACTTTACCATATAATAAAACACTCCCTCTTTGGAATGTAGAGGTTCAGAAGCAATGCAAATTACAAACATGGATATATAAGGAATTATTTTAAATTTAAGTCAATATATGACGGTGAAATATAAATAAAAAGATACAAGTAGAACGCAAGTTAAAGATTTGACATTTTTAAGCATGATAAAGAAAATGAAAAGACAGAATTAGGAATGAGACAATGAGCGTCAGATAAGAATTAGTAGGTTATGGATGCTTAAAGAAGTTAAGGATGCAAGTATTACAGTGATTTGGATATGTGAAAAGAATAGATATAAACAGAATACCTAGAAGAGCTCTGGAAATACAAATGAGAGGTAAAAGGTGCAAAGGACAACTGATGTGAAGATGACATATCCAAGTTACTAACAGTATTAGAGGTACTGGAAATATATGGACTATGCTGTTTTTATTTTCAGAGTTTAATCCACAGAAGAAACCTCAAAATAGAAAAAACAATGTCATAAGCAGGATGTTTTTTGCTAATGACAAAGAATGCCTGTTTGGATTTCCAATTCTTGAATGAGTGAGATGGAGACCAAAACCACATAGGACCAACATTTCAGCAAATAAAATCATATAAATAATTAGCCCAGTACAGCATACTCATCTATTAAGTTTCTGAATCTAAGATCATCACAGAGAAGACAATGTGATCTTTTGTAAGTAATAAATCTATTGCACTCCATTTCA